GCTCTTCCCCCTCGGGGAGCACTGGGAAATGTAGTTCTGCGAGGGCTGCTCCCAAGCCCTGCCAGGCGGCTCCGCATCTTGGAACCAGGGAATCATAGAGCCATGGAACGTTTGTGGTTGGAACAGCCCCGGGTTAACTCCTGGGGTGGTGAGGCTGTCTGAGAGCAAACTCTCTTTTGGTTTGGTTTTTTTTTTTTTCTTTTCCACACCAGCTTCATTCTGCCAGAAATCCCCAGGCTGTATTTTGCCAAGCAGAAGTTCTAACAAGAACAATGCTACTGCAGTTCATTCGATCCGTTCCTAGCAGAGGAGTTTGTCCCTCTGCGTTTCTCTTCTTTTTTTTTTTTTTTCCCCCTCTCCCAAGTTTCTCTGTGTTTTGCACCAGTAACACAAGAGCATTGTTTAAAGTTAAGGACCATATGTCCTCAAACAGGAAAATATGCTGTATGTGCCTAAAGGATGGGGCTGTTCGGTGTTCCAGCACCCAAACCCGCAGCTGAATTTGTAAGTGAACAGCTGTGATTCGCAAAGCGCGCTTTGCCAAGACAGATGTCAGAACGATGACAAATTATTTTCATGCTTTTATAACTGAACAAACAGATTCCTCTCAAGGACTGAAAACATTATTCTGGGCTGGAACCTACCTGCCTATATTTAGCACAAAGAGAATTTTATAAACATATGAAAGTCAGTGTTTTCAGGGCAGCCTTTTGCTTTTTGGTCATGAATTGAGACATTCTAATCGAGAATTCACGTCATGTAATTTGAGAGCACAGCTTGTAAAAATAATAATAGAATATTCAGGGCAATAGCACTCTTGTTACCAGCGTTGCTTACGAGTTTAGGTTTAATTACACCTGACTGCTATATGTGTGCTTCCTGAAACAGCAAGCCCAATCTTATTAATCCACTAGGCTAATGGGATTAATGGACAAAACACATCTTCCCTTAATAAGATAAAGGATTGAAATATAATCTCTAAGGGAAGTATCCACCCTACTGTTAAAACAAACAGACTTATTGACCATAACTGCCCCCAGAGATGGATCTTGCAATGCTTTAGAGAGAGGCGGTTCAGGTAGATACTTTGGACCTCAAATCCTGGGACAGCCTCCTTCAGCCCAAAGCAATCTGTCATTTGGTAAGTGCACCCCTATCCACGTGAAGGATTAAAAGCCGGAGTACCGTGCTGCAGTGTAAAGACTCCGTTGAAAGCAGTGCAGTGCTGAAGCCTCTCGTTGCTATACACAGCTGAAAACCTCACGGGTTAGCCCAACCGTGTGTACCTGGCCTCTGTGCTGTGTGGGGACGTGCAGAGAAAGGGAGATTAGAGTCACTTTGGTGACTGAGCTGAGCTGTGGGGAGCCACGCAGTCTCTGAGAGATTCCTTGTGCTGCCTTCAAGGCTCCATGCGCATGTGATTGTGCATCGCCCAATTAAATATTTCTGCAGCACATAAGCAAGGGAGGTGATTTTGGAAACAACAGGCTTTCTCATCATTTATTCATGTAATTACTTAATTTAAGGAGCACAAACAGCAGTAGTCACTTTGGCACTGAGTTACTTCTTTGTGAGTGGTTTTGAGCTGGGCTCCGAGTCGCATGAATTGCACCTATAAACTGTTATTTGTTCCCTGCAGGTACTGTGCTCCACATGAGACGCGATCCTGTGAGCAAAGCGGAGGCCTGGCCACGCCAATGCATCGCTGATGGCTTCCTGTAGCTTACTAATTTGGGCGTTGGCAGGCTCCCAGAGGAAGTGAATCCCTGAGACTCCCCCAGTGCAAGAAGAGGAGCAGGCAAGCAAGACACAGGCAGTGAGAACAAATTCTTGTGATGCCTTACACGGACAGCATGGCCCAATGGGCAAATCTTTGGTCCTGTGTTGCTAAGATATTTTTTAAAATCTGGATTTGTAAGATTCTCCTTGTATTAGCAGTTGGAAAAAGATTTTTTTCAAGCCAAAGAAGTGTCTAGAAAACATAATTTTAGGCTAATAATGGTTATGCTAGTAATCTTGCTTTTCCTTACTGTTCTGTGTCTTTTCCAGCTGCCCCCAATAAGCAGAAAGAAGCATTAGAATTGCTAACAGCTGGCCTTCGCAAAACAACTGTTAATTGCTTTAAATACATAAAACCAGCAAACTCACATTGAAAACTTGTGGTCAAGCCACAAGAAACCTCTTGGTAAAACAAAAAATATTTCTTTTTTTAGGAAGAGGCCAGGGAGAGACAAACCTCTTCTTTAAGGAGGAAGTTAATGAGCACCCTTTCCCTCTATCATTAAATTTTAGATGCAAACTAACCAGATCTGGCTTTGCTCTGAAGTTAGACTCGTAGTGTGTATTGTGTACGTGAGGGGCTGCTACAGTTTGTCATGCTCGGGGTGGGGATACTGCCAGACACTGCCGATGGCGTTCTGTGCTCCCAACGCTTGCACGGCTATAGGGGAGACACCTCAGCATCGGGATGACTTTGTAGTCACCCAGCTTATTGGTGGAGCATGTGTGTGTTTTCTCTTTTCTCCTCCCTGCTGCTGTTTTCTAGGGAAGATCCTCAAACTCTGGCGCAGCACGAAATAACTGATGACCCAGGGTTCGGCCTGTTGACTGCAGGGAATGACTTCATCTCGGGAGCAGACTAGCGTTGCCACGCCAGCACCGTTTGATGAACGTGTGTGAAATGGGGTGAGGCTTCGTCTCTTTGCAAAGGGTAAACCTGAGGTGTACATACCCTTCAAAAAGCTAAGCAGTACTGTGAGCTATCTCCGACATGACTCACCTCCGTCTTAAACACTGCGTGCAGGTCACGGCCTGTTGTCTCTAGAAGGACGCAGAGGAACTGGGAAAGGTTCAAAGACTTGGAATACGGCCACTGCAAGGATCTCAGAAGGCGCTGGTACTTCAGCCTGCTTAAGGGGCAGGTTCCAACTGTTTTGTGTCTCTTCCCATGCAGGAACCTGGTTAATCAAATCTAACTAGCTGGAGCTGTGTTCCCAGTGAACAGATGGAGGTGGTTCTCCGTGCCCTGGCTAAGGGGTGGTGCAACTCCTAGGTAAAGGATGCTGTGAATGCAAAAAGGTTCTAGCTCAAGAGAGAAGTAGTACTAACAGAGAGCTCTGTGGGGGGTTACTAGGGAGGTTACTAGGAGGGTTACGTGGACGGACTGCCTCAGGCTGAGAACATCCCCAAGCTAGAAGTGTTTGGAGCCTGTGACAGGATTCTAGGCAGCATGGGCTAAAAGAAAGCGTTGGTGTGAGCCACTACAGCCGTGCCCTTATGAGGCTTCCTGCACTTCATTCTCGTTGTAGGGGGACCTTTCTGTTATTATCCTTCAGCCTAGGGCCTAAG